ATGAATGCTGTAGCAGTAAACGGACCACCTGATGATATGTACCAACCACCTATCATTCCACCACTGACAGGAATTTATAGAGGCCTTCAAGAAAATGCTGTAGAAACAAGATCAAATGAGTAAGTTTACTAAGTATTGTAAAAGTAAAACTCTCCTTTTTTGTAAACAAGGTAACTATGTCATGTCTAAACTAAAGCATTATGAATACATAAAAAAAACAGCGCTTTGAGTTGTTCTTGCAGATCATATTGTAGCCTCTTTTGTGACTTTTTGAATATGTTTATATCAACATTGTAACCTTAATATTTTTTCTATCCTAACAGGTTCCATGATGATTCTGCGTTTACAGAAATTAGTTTGAAGGAGTATGAATCTCACATAAGAGGTGAATTTTGCATGGTGCATGACACCGGCTTTTGGGATACCAACAACCTAAATGATGGCGTTAGCCTTGCGACTGCCATGAAACATGAAGACAAACTTGTGGCTGATGATGGCATCAAGGATTTAGGCAACAACGTTAAGAGTGGTGGTAGCCTTACGGTTGAAAATGGCATGGAAAATGTGGAAAATGAAGCCAACCGTAAGGATGATTCTACTATGACTTATGAAACAAGCCTTGCGGCTGACAATATTGTGGAGGATCGAGCCAACAACTTAGAGGATGAAACTGAAACTGACAACAGCGAGGAGGATACATCTGGAATGAATGAAGCCAACCTTGCAGTTGACAATAGTGAAGATGAATCCAGTAATGTGAGTGAGACTGGCACGGATGATGAGGCACAGAGAACTGCCTTATCACTCCGTTCATCTATGGTAATTGTAAGTCATTTCAATTTCCTCTGTATTTTCACCAACAGATCTGCAAAATATGGAACAAACCTTATATAACAGGAAAATATGAATCAATAAAAATAAATGAATGGAAAATTTTATATTTAGCTCTGCAATAATTGTACATTGTGAGCTCCATGATGTCAAATAGAATATCTGATTTATTTGTATTTTTATCCAGTCCAATTCAATTTAATC